ATCTGTGATTTCAGACACCTTATGTTTATTATAACTTGGGAAATCCCAAGAGGGAAACAAAAACCTAGCAATAATTGAACACTACGATATGTCAAGCTTGAAACCAGGTCCTCTTCAGACACTCTGTACAATCTAGAGGGGCAAGTAGGCCTCTAGTAACAATAGTGTTACAAGACAATAGGATAATATAACAGCAGAATTTTTAATGTCCCTAATTTGCTGTTAAGTGACAGAGGCTCGGAGAAGTTAAATCATAGGAAAACAAAGATTCCCTTTAAATAGAACTCCAGATTCCATGCTGTATCAATTATATCCTACAGCTTTGCCATAAAAACAATGAAAAGATTTGTGGAGAGTGACTGAAGGCACAGTGAGGAATGCCTGAAACTGATTTCCGTGCTGTAATTCCTGTGATGGGAGAATTTACGCTTGATGTACTTAAAACGCTAATGGGGAGATGTGGTTAAGTGCTGGGAGGTCTTGAATGAAAGCCCTAATCTGTACACATTTACATACACACAGTATATATTCGGTATTATGTTCACCAAAACACAGGATTAAATGCAATACACTTAATTTTTGGAAACCTACTGATAATTTTAGTTTTCTTAAAACAACAGTGGGTCCTTTTGTAATTAATTTTGATTTACTCTCTCTTACCTGCTAAAAAATATACAGGCTCTTTTCTCTGCAATCTGAATAAGACACTTAAAACTTTGTTTTGTTGCAGAATATAGGCAAATAAAGAATTTATGTTGCTTGCATTTATGGTTTTTATGATTTGGAATTATCATTTCAGACTCTCAGCTTCGTTTTCTGGTTATAATGCACATAGCAACCCAGATGGCTAATATATAAACAATTTGAGTGATGCTTATTTAAATCATTTAGGACAGCTCAGGAGGTTGCTGAGACCCGGGACCATCTGTTTATTTCTCTATGTGTTTCTTTGAGGCTTAGTGTGTGCTCACACCTTCACATGTCTTAGTCTCTACCTTCCTGATATATACCCAGAAGAGGCGTCTTAGGCTCAATTTAACTCCTTATTTCTATCGAGGTTCTGTTTTAAAAACCTTAATCCCCACCTGCCTTCTGTTTTACCATTTTACCTATTTTATTTTAGTTTTTTTCCTGTTATTACTATCCTCAACAGTCACTTTGCAGATGAATGACTGGGAACACAGGTTGGTAGTCAGGTTGGAATCTTAATTGGCTGTGTACGTAGCTGTTTGACCTGGGCCAGGCTCTTTCACCTTGACTTCCTCATCTGTGAAATGGAATATAATACCCACCTCATATATTTATGAGAATGATTAAATGAGATAAAATATAATTCATTACATATAATTCTGTCTGGTTACTATTATTAACATGCTTTAGAAAGAGGAGTCTCACAATGACAAAAAGACATTCAAAAGTAAATTTCGGATACCATATACTTGAATTTCAGACAATAGTCTTTTGGAAGGAATATCTATTTTTCCTTAAGCTGACTGTTTATGTGAAAGCACACACTACAACAAAATGTATGAAAACCCTCATGGGGTCTAGTGTGAGGGTTCCAGCCCTCTTTCACGGGATCCATGGCGAAACTTTGGACTATGAGTAGCTGGAGAAGAGTTTTCTCTTGGCACCTGTCTGGGTTCTCTTCTGAAGTCCCCGGTTACATATTAGACTGTACGCTTTGGAACCTCACCTTCACATCTGTAATGGTTCCCTGTGGACTGAGCTGATCCATATATACGCTCTCTGAGGAGAGAGACCAGAAAATGGTCTCTTCCACGTTAGCCCCTGTGCCGTCCATGACCTGTAACCCTCACAACCCTGTGGGTGAGGTCGTTATTTCTTCCTAATTTTATGTGGATTACTTTTTCTGAATTAAAGATCATCAGAGTCTTTAAAGTATGAGTATGCTTATACAGTCAGTGGAAAAGAAGAATACAATTAATCTGGACGGTCTTGGAAATTCAGGGTACACGTTTACTGTAGTTCTAGTATTATAATATGGTATAAAATAGAGATACATACTTCTCAGAGGGTTAATCTGGTACATTGATCTACAAATCTGCCATTGAGATTCAAATATTTTTTGTAAGAGTGTGTGTGTGTGTGTGTGTGTGTGTGTGTGTGTGTGTGTACAGCTTCTGCATGAAAAAAACAGGTTGAACAAGGATGCCCTGTTTTGATGGTTGCCAGAGAAACATATAGCCACACATAAATCATTTGTGTATGAAACAGTTCATTAGGAACTCACTCTGTGCAGCTGTTTGACCCAAGCATTTTTTTTTTTCTGGTGTTTTTAAAACACGTTTTAACACAAGTCTGTAGAGGGAATAATGCCAGTCTCTCTAATAATATTTCAGTTAGCAAAGCATTAAAATGTCAAACTGTTTCAATTGGTCAGGGCATATCCTTATAAAATTGAATCATAGTAGGGGCGCCTGGGTGGCTCAGTGGGTTAAAGCCTCTGCCTTCGGCTCAGGTCATGATCCTAGGGTCCTGGGATCGAGCCCCACATCGGGCTCTCTGCTCAGCGGGGAGCCTGCTTCCTCCTCTCTCTCTGCCTGCCTCTCTGCCTCCTTGTGATCTCTGTCTGTCAAATAAATAAATAAAAAATCTTAAAAAAAAATTGAATCATAGTCCTCTGTTATGTATCTGTTATCTTCCATGATTTTTTTAATTTAAATAGCCAATTTAGCCAATTAGCCAACATTTAGTACATCTTTAGTTTCTTCCATGACTTTTAAAATATGCTTTATATATTTATATATAATGATTTAAAATCCTTTCACTCCACTTAATGTGGAATAATTGTTTCCAAATTAAGGAAACACTACATACAAAGTTACAAAACTAATGTAAAATAGTAACCATTATTCACACAAGAAGGTATTCTTTACTCTTTTATGTCAGTGTCATTTAATTACAAATGTGAATTACATTTAATTACAAATAGTTTAGTAAAAACTATTACAATACATGTTAAGTATGAACCAGAGCCCTTTCTCACCTTTTTGCCACTCCTGGCCTCAGAAGGTGACCACTAGTAATAGTTCAAGAGAGACCTTTCAGACCTTTTTCTATGCTCATGCAAACGCACAGGTGTATCTTGCAAAGAGTGAACACACACACACACACACACACACACACACACACACACACACGAATACTATATTGTTTATAGTTTATAGCCATAAAAGGAATGTTGCCATTTGCAACAATGTGGATGGAGCTAGCGAGTTTTATGCTAGGTGAAATAGAGAAAGGAAGAAACCATATGATTTCACACCTATGTAGAAATTAAGAAACCAAATAAGTGAGCAAAGAGACAGAAAAAAAAAAAATGAGAGAGAGAGAGAGAGGCAAACTGAGGAACAGATTCTTAACTATAGAGAACACACTGATGGTTACCAGGGCAGGTGGGAAGGGGGTGGGTGAAATAGGTGAAGTTGATTAAGGAGACACTTGCTGTGATGAGCTTGGGATGATGTACGGGTGTTGATTCACTGTATTGTACACCTGAAATGCATATTACACCATAACTGCAATTGAAATAAAAACTTAAACAAAATAAAGCATGGTATTAAGAAGCCAATTAAAATAAAATAAAATACAGTTAAGTAAAATATATAAGGAAAAGTGGACCTCAAATCCTTTGTAAAGCAAGGTAATGCAGGAAGTAGATGCCTATAAAACTTTAAGTTGTGTGAGGTTTTTTGGTTTTTGGTTATTGTCTTTAGTATAGCTGACACACAATGTTACTGGTGTACGACTTGGGATTTGACAAGTTATATATTGTGCTATTTCTTTGTAGGCATACCTACTGTCTGTCCCTTTACATCGCTGTTACAATATCATTGACTGGATTCCCTGTGCTTTGCTTTTTCGTCCCATGACTTAACTCATTCTATAACTGGAGTCTTGTATCTCCCTCTCCCTGACACCAATTTCACCCAACCCCATACCCACCTCCCCTCTGGCAACTATTAGCAAAAACCTAAGATTTTATTTGCAGTAATAGCTGTGAGGGGTAACGTTAATATCATTTTCATAGGAACAGTTTAGTCACATAGCTGTCTTTAGATTTTTTGAAACTCTCTAAAAATTATTTTCAAGTTTGAATTTGTCACCTAATTTTTTTTTTCCTCTGAAGATAATTTCCTGTAGGATTCCTCAAGTGTGGTTGGGATTTTATATTTTTGAACCAGACCTCTAGCCTCATGGAGTTCATTGTCTCTCAGGAGAGACAGGTAATTGAGCAACTACAGTGGATCTTACTCAGTTCAGTACTGTGAGAGCTCGGGGCAGAAACCCCTCTGTCAGTGGTGTGAGGTTGGGCAAGTGCCACCAGGGAAGGCTTCCTGGCAGAGGCAAATCTTAACATGGTATCTGAGAGATGTGCACACAGCAGTCAGGCAAAGAGCAATGGGCTTGGGCTGGGAATTGGCCAGGGAACCATCAGCATCTACAAAAGCCTGGCCATGAGAGAATCCAGAACATGGTTAAGTAACTGCTAGAAGTTCAGTCTGACTGTAGGGTAATTAGAAACATTTATTATGATAATAATACATGTCCATTATATATAAAATTTGAAAAGCACAGGAAACAAGAGAAAACATATGCCACCACTAATTTCAAGCTGCAGAGTTTCCTGTGAGCATTTTCTTACAACTTTGTCATGCCCTATATTTGAATTTATAGGACAACACATTTGGTATATTCCCAGAGAGGATTAAACCAGAGCTATGCATGGAGACATAAATGCATGTATGTATGAAGACATTTTAAATAAAACTGGGATCATGCCAAACTTGCGTATGTCACTTAATTTTTTAACCTTTTTTTTTTAACGTTACGATATACTGATTTATTTTAATGCCCCTGGATAGAATTACATTTCTTTTTTCTCTTTTTAGGATTACATTTCAAGTGGAAATGTTTCATCTCTCTGAATAGAAAGAAATATTCTTGAAGTGAACTATCTGTATTCTTCTCTGTAGGAAGAATGTTTCCTAAACCTAGAAGCTCCTATATCAAGAGTATGTGGGTATGACACACCGTTTCCTCACATCTTCGAGCCATTCTACATCCCAGACAAATGGAAGTGTTACGATGCACTTCGAAAAATGATCAACTATTGACTGTATTGGTAAGTCAGCCTTGCATTTTGACAAAGCTAGTGTATGTCACTCATATGACTGTGCCATTAACCAAGAGCTACGGTCATCAGCATGTTGGCAATTTCCAGAACAAAAGTGGATTGAAGAAAAAAAAATGGAAATTTATAGTGGTATATTTACACTTGTTAGAAACGCATCAGATATATGTTTATCTGATATCCATAAAACAGATGTGTACATATATTAATGTGGAGTAATCAATGAAGACGAAGATACTCTGTGCTGTGGTTTGCTTGCAAATATACCTTACTCCACTCTTCCAACTTTAGCCTCATTTCTGTATATTGTTATTGGCCATTTAAATTGTTCATGAATAGGGTTAATTTCTGTTATTGAAAAATGTTCCTTTGAGCAACATTGTTTGGGACTCCAGTGAATTTAAACTATATGATGATCCATAACATGAAATTTGCCTTTATATTATCTGAAAATAGGTTTGTTGAGCAGAAAACCTATTTATCATGTATAGGGAAGTTTTTACATAAAAGAAAATCCAGCACCACCACCATTTCCAGAATCCTTTTTGACAAATGAATGTTTTTAAATTGTGGATAATGACATTTAGTTGTTATGATTTTCTATCTTATCTGCCTCTTCAGCAGTGATTTTCTAGCAAAAAATGAATATCATTAAAAACTGTTTAGTTTTCAGGTTTTAATATAGAAAGGAGTTGCTATCACTGACACACTGCCTTATTTTATGTTGGCATTTTGAAACGTATAGCTGGAATTAAATTTTACATTTAATATTCTAGTATTAGCATGTGATATTTACATTTTAATATCTAGATTGTCTAAAAAATAATAATAATACATTTTTAAGACCTGTCATCTTTTTAAAAAAAGGGGAGACCAGGTTCTGTATAATAACATAAGCCCACACTTCTTAAAGATAGAAATACTGTAATTCTTGAATTCTGTGTCTGAGGAGTAAACCTGGGCCATTGAAAACCAGAGAGATACCTTTTAAATTTGTACAGATAGAGAAAATAATGCCCTCCCATCTGCCACTATGACACCCCCCCTTTCCATTTTTTGCAGTTCTATTTTGAGAATGTACCAGATGTAAGTTCAAGCCATTAGTCAACACATCCTCGGTATTCTTCCAGATACACTGAGGGAGATGCTGTGTATCTGGTGTCCTCTTAATGTCTGTGAAAGCAACTGGTTTCTACAGTAAGTCACACTTAGGACTAGTTAGAGGAATACCATCTCTTTTGTCCATCTTCTTCCTTCCATGGACTCTCCCTAATGGAGAGTCAAGGTAATCACAATGTGTGGCCACAGAGTTTAGGTGCTGATTTAAATTTGGATATATAATTCTTTTAAACATAAAAAATATGTAAACCTATTGAAAACATGATAAAAGAAGAATAGTTTTTCTATGCTTCAAGCTAAATATGGCATTAAGGAAAAGAGTTATGCAGTTGAGAAATCTATATTTAATTCATGGTGGTCGGAATGTCTATAATTGTTATTGATTTCTTTTACAGAACAACTGGAAGATTGTGACTAGATATGGAAATATTTTTCTGAAAATCCTTTTTATTTCCTCAGACTTCTCTCTTCTTGAAAATAGAGTTTTTATTAACTGAACCACCTTGGATAATGGCTGAAAATTTTTAATTAGTTATTGTATTAACACATATGAATTGATGATTTCCATTAAGAGTATCTCAGATTAACTTTTTAAAATGGTTCACTTATAAATTCCATCAAATTACATCTGTAAATATTGGGCATGGGGTAGTATTCAATAAAGCAAAATCAGATTCTGCCTTTTTTTGTGTGTGTCTTTTTTTCATTAGCTAAAAGAATCTTATCAGAGTAATAGATTAACTTGTTAATTAAATCTGAAAGTGAAATGCTTAGAAATGCTGATTTTCAGTTACATTATATTTAGTATAATTCTTTATGGCTAAGATGGTTGTATGTTGATGAAACTTCTGGAATATTTTACCTGGTTCTTCCCTCTTACCTCAACAAGATGTACTGATGGGGGCACCTGGGTGACAGGTGGTTAAGCCTCTGCCTTCAGCTCAGGTCATGATCCAAGGGTCCTGGGATTGAGCCCCACATCAGGCTCCCTACTCAGTGGGATCCTGCTTCTCCCTCTACTCCCAGCTCTCCCTTGCAATCACTGTCTCTCTCTCTCTCAAATAAATAAATAAAATATTAAAAAAAAAAAAAAAAAAAAAAAAAGATGGGCACCTGGGTGGCTCAGTGAGTTAAAGCCTCTGCCTTCGGCTCAGGTTATGATCCCAGGGTCGGATCGAGTCCCGCATCAGGCTCTCTGCTCAGCAGGGAGCCTGCTTCCCCCTTTCTCTCTGCCTGCCTCTCTGCCTACTTGTGGTCTCTCTCTCTGTATGTCAAATAAATAAATAAAATCTTAAAAAAAAAAAAAAGATGCACTGATGGACATACTCACTTTTTTCCAAAGCATGGTGGGGCAGGATCATCCTTGCTGCCTCTCTTCCTAATTTTGGGAGATGGACAGCATGAACCTGTCTTTTCTTATAAAATTGCCAAGTTTTTCTACAGCTGTTTTTTTTTTTTTTTTTTTGCCATTATTTTTCAAAGCAAGTATCTTTTTCCATGTCCTTTCTATTACTTGTAGATGAAAAGAGAAACAAGATTAGAAGCATCAAAAGGCCCTGAGAAGACGGCTTGGTGGCTCAGTCAGTTAAGCGTCTGCCTTTTGTCATGATCCTGGGGTCCTGGGATTAAGTCCCGTGTCAGGCTCCCTGCTCAGTGGGGAGTCTGCTTCTCCCACTGCCCCTCCTCACATACTTTTTTCCCTCAAATAAATATAATTTATTTCTCTCTCTCTCTCTCTCTCAAATAAATATATAAAATCTTAAAAAAGAAAAAAAGCCCTGGCCAGAGGAAGCCTCTGTGTTGGGGATATTACCAGGGCCCCCATTTCTTAATCTGCCTCCTCTGCCCTTCATTTTGAGTTTGAGACTGGCCTGAACAGCCTCAGAAATCCCTTCGCAGGACACCTCATCTTGGGGGCCTGTCCCTTGCACGTGGTACTAGCCAGTCTGCCCACCCCTTCTGTAGATTACTTCAGAAGAGTTTGTTCTCACCAGTACCAGCAGAAAGATCCACCTCCCTAAAAAACCAGAGAAACAGAGTCATAGAGTGTTTTCCTTTCGCTTTAAAGACCAAATGGATATTTTCTTATGATTCAAATGTTTATTTTACTTTAAAACTACAACTTAAAAAAAGCTGTGTTCTGTTTATTTTGATCAGCTATTTGGAGGATACAGAAATCTACAGTAATATTTGTAGATTGCCAGAAGCTTGGAGGTAAAGTAAATGCACTTTATCACAGATTTTTATAGCAATGGGCTGGAAAAAAAGAACCAGTGCACTTGTTTGGGTAAAAATAAAGCCTTGTCCTTGATTTAAAAATAGAAACACCTGTATGTTATAGAATTGGGAAAAGATGTAGTTGTCAGCAGCAAGTCTGGATAACATTTAGGGAATCCTGTTGACTTATGATACAGGACATTTGGAGTTTAAAATGCCCAAACACAGTATTACCTTTGGCTTTTTTCACTATCCACAGAAGTCATGCGGCATCCTTGCAGGAAACTCTTCACTTACGTGGTCAGTCTAGCAGAGTAGGAAATAGGCAGTATTCAACCACCTCAGAGCCTTAATGGGTTCTTTTGAACATAATTGTTTTAGCTGAAGTTATTTTTTTAGTTGATATTATTTATACTTTTAGTTACTTATTTTAAGTTAATTGCCAGAGATCTTTTTAATACTTTTAATACTTTTTAATACTATTTTTTTCTACTCATCTGTTCTTTTAAGAATTTTCCCTTAGCTTTTTTTTTTTTCCTGTTCCTCAGTTTTGAAATAGCAAGCATGAGGACAACTGTGGGGATTGTCTGTGCTCTCAGGGCCTGAGCTGGAAGGTGTTTCCCCCTTCCAGTTAGCCCTGCAGGCCCCACCAGTTAAGCACCCTTTTCCCTTCGAAAATAAATGACTTACAATTAATATTAAACTCAGTCTGTGGCACAGGATGTACATGTACATCTAAATAATTGTCTTAAGTACATTTTCATTACATGAAGCAAATGTTCCATATTGTGTAAATAAGAACATTGAAATGAGGACACACTCGGGGTGTTAAGTGAATTTGAAGTTCCGAGTCCCCAGGACTCCCAGCCTAGCACAGGAAGTCTGCTTCCTGGGACAACATAGATATATAAGTGAAGGTAATCTTATACACTTCAAATTTCCAATTCCTTTCAGAAAGAAACAAACCATGATCTAACATCCTTGTTCTATATAACTGATAGATATCATCCACGTTATGTGAACAGACCTAGATACATGAGAAAAAAGGTGACACAAGATGGAGAAAATGACCTCAATTTAGTCCCTTTGGTTTAAGTCACATAATCTAGAAACTCTGAGTAAGAATCCTGAGAAGATGTCCCCCAGAGGGTCTACGTTTGGTTTAGTGAAATCCTTTTTCCATCAGCTTGCCTGTGGTGGACAAGTGTGGTTTCCAGGGGCCTGGCATCCCCACCTTCTATAAGAGCACTGATGTTTGAGAACATTTGTTGAGAGCTCCCTCCTCACTGCCTTGGCTCTGGAGAGGCTGCCATCCCCCGTGCTGTTCAGCACCAGTCACAGAGATGGCTCCGGCCCAGCCTGGTCACATGCCTCAGAATGGAACGTTAGGTTACTCATGCAGAAACAAAACTTGGCCTCCACCTTGTTAGTGACACTCAGCAATCAAAGACTGGTTCTCAAACTTTTACCTCTTTGAGGTATACCTGATAGGTATTAACCAGCGAGCACAGTGCTGAATTTAGCAGACACGCTTGGGTGAGGGGTAAGAAGCATGACCCTAAAGCCATCCTGTCAGAATTTCCAGAGAGATGTGAGGTTTGGAGACTCTGACATACCCCCGTAGGCCATCTAGTTTGGAAAGAAGTAGAAAATATTCATACATCGGCAGAGATTTAGAAACCCTGATACCTGATACCTCCCCGAACATCATAATTAAAGATATTTGCCAGGAAAATGAGAAATAAAATAAGTCAAGAATGAGGAAATCATAGCTGGAATGGACTGGAAGTGCAAATGGAAACAAGTTAAATAAAAAGATATATATCTAAAATAATTGTCTTAACTATACTTTTTATGTGAAACAAATGTTCCATATTGTAAAAATAAGAAAGTGGTGGTGATAATAAATATGACTTACATTGACAAAGGTTAGAGTAGTAGATATGCCAAGAGGAATTCCAAAGTGCCAAATTCTTCATTTTTAGTAAAGAGGAGCATAACTTTATTATCCCACTGTTAATCTTGAAAGTTTAATATTGGTTTTTAAATGCTTCAAAAATAAAATTAATCACTATGTATGTATCTTTCATATCATTATATAAACCAGCTATACTATACTTATTAATTCATTCCACAAACATTTAGTGGATACTTGTTATGGGCCAGGCACTGGATTAGATCCTAATATGCAAAGTTAACTAAGAGACATTCCCTCCCTGCAAAGAAAATGGTAAAAAAATGTTTAAAGAGCAATAGAAAAGAAAAGTAGGAAAAAGCAAGACCAAACAAAACAATTATGACAATAAATATAATGGGGTAAGTTCCCTAGTCTAAAAGAAAGAACCTAGAGTGGGTTGAGAAACAGAATCCTAGTTCTTTACTAGGAAGGGTCCTCTTATAAGGTATCCCAGAAAGGTTAAAATTTGAAAATGAACAAACAAAATTAGGCAAAAATAAATATTAAAACAACACAAATGGCAGAATTTGTTTCAGACGAAAGACAAGAGAAAAAGTACGCAGTCAGTAGTAACAAAAGGAATATATTACACGGAAGATATAACAGTTAAATTATTTGTTCTAAGTGCATGATATTAAAACGTAAGCAAAACTCTGTAAATACAGAGGATGTAGATATAAGAGTCATAGATGACAACTTTCTCACCTCACTGTCAGTTTGATAGGTGAAGTAGGTAAGAATAAGTAATAGGGTTGAGTCAACAGAAATAAACTTTAAACTTTGTCCCATAAACAGAGACTATATCACCTTTTAAAGCATATACAGCAGTTAAAAGAGTTGAGCATAGATAAGGTACAAAGCAAAACAGTAAATTCCTCGAAGAAAAGAGTATTAAAAGGCACCATGTTTTCTGACCACATCCCAAATTAATAACAAATATTTCCAACTACTTAGAATGAGAACATAAATGCATCCAGCTGTGGAACCCAGGAGGAAATGTAAAACAATTCCAAATATTTAGAACTTAAGATCACTGATGTGCTTCAGCCAAGATCTTACTCAGAGGTAAATTCATAGATTTTAACTCTTTCATGAAAAAAGGGAAAATACAAGATTACAAGAATAAAGGGAGAAGAAGCACAAGAATCATGAAAAAAATTAAAATAGAATGCAATAAAATGAAAAGTGAATAAAGGCGGAAAGTTCCAAATGA